TATATATATATATATATATGTAAAAGTTTGAGTTGGCCCTATTCAAATTTATTAATTCACGTCAGCTCGTGTTCGACTCAAAATTAACTCAAATAATTTTTAAAATAATAAAACTATTTTTTTAAATAACATAAAAAAGGTTAATATAAAATATTATAGACGCGAACTTTGATGAAAATATTGAATATAAATAAAAAAAATTAAAACAAAATAATGATGACATTAGAAGTCTTTTGATTGGCTATGCCAATTTGATTTTTATACTTGTTATATTATACTTGTTCGTGCAATCTTTATAATGCTGCAGGATGCTATGGACCGGTAAGAAACATGTTGACATTATGGCTCAATTAGGTTTGATGTTTCCTGGCTTTAACAAATCTTAAAATTACATAAATACCCTCATTTCTTTGGAAGCTTCCGATGGCATTTTCGATATTATGTTTTTATTGACAAACGTCTCCTGAGTGTTTGACTCCATGGGAACAAAAATCCCCTGCAACAGTGGTTGGTAGATGATTTGGCTCAGAATTTTTTAGCCTTTAGATTTCCTTTGAGATTTAAAAGTCTATGCTAAGAATTTTAAATCCATTAAACATTGTGTAAGTCACACGGGCTCAAGAATCCAACGGCCGCAAATTATTTTTGGGACGTTGAAGACGCCGAAAAGACCGTCGGATAGTATTGACCGGCTCCAGAGGACTTAACGGCTAAGCTTGAAAAAAGATATTATATTATTATTATTATTGACACATCACCAACAAATTTTTATCATCCGACACGAATCTTGAGATAATATTTTAAGCAAGAAACTTTTAAATCCTGATAAAAAGTCATCCAGAGCTCCGATTTCAGCAAACTTATAGTCAAACTGACCGGTTTGATGAGGCTGACCTATTGATATAAAAACTAGCCTAATCCGAGTCAAATCAAGCTCATACCAACTCATTAAACCACACTTAGATGATTTCCGGACACATTTGGAAGGTCAAACAGTTGTTGAATATGTGAAGTTTATGCTCGAATTGAGCGTCTCGACAAGACAAATCTAACAAGCCCAAAATAACTCAATTCGGACATCATTAAGGCACTCAAATGTCTATTAAACATTGTATGATCAGAGGAAGCTTGCCGGACCGTCCGATCAAAATGTTTCATATTCTTGCATTAATGACATTCATAACACTATAAATAGAGATCTACCCCTCACATGAGGAGGGGGACTAGAGGCTTCAGAGAGAACTGGAAGCTCTGAGGAGTTGAATTCCCACACCATCCTGACCGTCGTCGACCACCGCCAGCCGTCGTCAACACCAGTCGATTGTCGTCAGGCACCGCCGACCAGATGCCGTCGATCAACGTTGTAACTTGGAAAATATAGTAACCTTTGTCGTTTGTAGGACAAGAGCTCACCACTACGATCAATGGGGTAACAACCTACACAGTTATCAACTCATGTAGTTCCCGACTTTGGCCCAAGTGACCTACGAATGTCATAATACTCTTCCCAATAGTCTACGTGGTCATCAGATCATACAGTTCTTGAATCTAGCACTAGCGACCTACGAACATCATCAATATTCGCCCCAACGACCTACATGATCATCAGTTCATGCACCTCCTGATTCTGACCCATGCTGTCTACAGACGTCATTAATACTCGAGAACTATAATCTACATGATTCATAGTTCCTGTAACTGCTTATTATGACTTCTTTGACCAATCAACGCTTTTGGAGTAACCATCTACAACACTCATGATGGACTACTACCTCCATAACAATCAACAATGACTCTTGCAACTTGCAGTCACAAAGAACAACAACCAGATTATAGTTATTCAACTTTCTAATTTCATCTTCCCTAATTCTGGAGAAGAATGTACATGTATACTCTTCATTCATAGTGGACTATTTCAATTGGGCTAGACCCCGTGGTTTTTCCCTCTTTCAAGGGTTTTTCACGCAGAAAAGTTGAGGTGTCTCCCCCTGCTTACTTCTCTTCTGTTATCTGTGTGTGCTGAATTCTCGTGCAACGCTAAGACAATTATCCATTACTCTACCGCCACGAATTTTATGGCACGCATCAGTTTGGAGCCGTCTGTGGGAAATGAAGTCCCGTTTGACATTGTCTTGAACTCAAAGACAACGAGCCCCTATTTCATTTCCCAATGATGTAGATCATCCAATTGTCAAATGAATCTTCTTTACATCTTGAAGATCATCCCCAAAGCATTCTTCAATGTGAGAGGCAATTCTTCACTGCAATCTTGAAAGATCGTTCACGTCAACGCCCTAGACACAGTTGTAGTGGGGCTGTCTTCTCGCATCCCATTCAGACACAAAATATGTCACAACTTCTTCCAGGCTAGCGGCAAATTTTCACTGCAGTCTCAAAAGGTTGTTCATGTCAACATCTCGGGCACGACTGTGGTGGGAAAGTCCTCCCATATTTCATTCATATTATAAGCTTGTGAAAATCGCTCATGTACAAGGAGGAAATCTTCACCGCAAATAATGTTTACTTAGCACCCCTCATCGTATTGAAGTTTCTCTTCAATCAGATTAGGAAGTAGATCTCTTCAAGGCTCCATACATAAGCTATTTTACAATCTCACATGGAAAACGCCCTCGTTGAGGGGCAAAAGATTCAAAAGCAACAACCGATAAGTCGTCAAACATTTTTCTTAAGTATCACTGCAACCATATTTTCAAGAAAACATACGGTTCATTGCAACCTGATACGCCTAAAAATATACTATTTTTCTTGCTTCTTTTTATAATGATATTGAATTTTAAAGGTATATTTTCTTGTGTTTTTGGTTGTTGTACATCAAATTGAAGAATTTAGAGTAATTGGAGCAAAAGGAACAAAAATGGACCAAAACGGAGCAAATTTGGTCGAATCGGGGCACACTG